TATTTTTCCTTGATTTTAAGTGGGGGGGGGGGGGGGGGGGGGGCGAGCTCCGGGCCCGGCCCCGCCCGCGCCCCCCGCGGGGGCTGCGCCGCGGCCTCACCGTCTCGTGCGGCTCCATGCGGATCTTGAAGGTTTGCTGCTGCAGCGTCTTCAGCGTCACGGTCACCGCCATGGCGGGACGGGGACGGGGCGGCGGCGGCTCCTCCCGGCGGCCCCACAACATGCAACTCACGCCGCCGCCATCTTAGGCGGCCCCGCCGCTTCCGCCGCGGCGCCGGAAGTGCGTCACGGCGCCGGGACGCGCGCGCGTCCGTTCCTCGTCACGTGACGCCGGGGGGGGGGAAGAAGAAAAAAACCCGCGCGCGGGCCGGCCGGCACCGCCCCCACCTCGGTCACGTGACGCGCGCGAGGGAGCGAAAGGGAGGCCGCGGCCGCGGTCACGTGACGCGCGCGGCGGCACAAAATGGCGGCGGCCGCAACATGGCGCGGGCCGGGGCAGAGCGGCGATAAAACCAGGAGATAAAAGCGGCGGCGCCGGGACCGTGGTTAATTTAATAGAAACCGAATCGCGACACGCCCGTAACAGTCCCGTGCGACACCGCCGGTGCTCCCCATCCCCTCCCGCTCCGCACCCTCCCCACCCCCGGCGCTGGTCCTGAGTCCTCGGGCCCGGTGCCGGTTCGGGCCCGGTGCCGGTGCGGGCCCGGCGCGGTCGCGGCTCCGCCGGGCCCGCGGGCGGCGGCGCCCATAGAAAAGAGTCCAGGTCTCACAGAGACAGAAGGGGCCGGCGCGGGGCCCTCAGAGCTCGTCCCGCGGCGCCGCCTCCGCCTCCTCGGGCTCGGGCTCCTCCTCATCCTCCTCCTCCTCGTCGCCGTCGCCCTCGTCGTCCCCTTCCTCTTCCTTCTGCTGCTTCTCCTCCTCCTCCTGCTTCTTGCGCTGCTCCTCGTCCTGCTGCTCCTTCATCTTCCTCTCGGCGTCCTGCGGGAGGGGCCGGGGGGTCAGGGGGGGCTGTCACCCCCTCACCTTGGTGCCCCCCCAGGCTGTCCCCGTCCCCAAGGGGCTGCTGTGCCCCCCCAAGGGGCTGCTGTGCCCCCCACAGTACTTCCCCAATCCTTCTCAGCCCCCCCATTCTGCCCCCTGGAGACCCCCAAGCCCCTCCCTAAACCCCTGAGAGCCCCTCCCCAAAGCCCCCCCACCTCGGGTTTGGTGTCCTCGGGGTCATCGATCTTGGCCCGCTCGTCCCAGTCGTCGGGTTTCTTGGCCTCGGGGTCCTTGATCTTTTTGGGGGGCAGGAAATCCCAGTCCTCCTCCAGGCTCCCCGACTCCACGCGGGCGTTGTCGATCTTCACCTCGTACGTGTTGTCCGGCCTCACCACCAGCGTGTACAGGTGGGTGAACTCGTCATCCTGGGGGGGGCACAGAAGGGGTTAACAGGGCTGCCCACCCCCCCCACCCCGAGGGGCACAGCAGCACCCCCAGACCCACCTTGCAGCGGATATCCTTATTGATCAACACGTTCTTCCCTTTGTAGTTGAAGATCACGTGCACCTTCTTGGTGCCGGGGCCGCAGATGTCGGGGCCTGAGGAGGGGGACACACAAAGGGGGGAGTCAGGGAGGGGCTGAGCCCACCCCGAGGGGGCTCGGGGGGTGGGGGGACGCCCACCGAACATGATGTTGTACTCGGAGTCCCCGTGCATGTCCTCCTGGCTCAGGCTGGCCGGGAAGAGCTTGACGTATCCGCCGCCGCAGTCGATGTTCTGCTCGTGCTTGACGGTGAACTGCACCACCAGCGTCTTGTCGCGGTTGCTGAAGGGCTCGAAGCGAGACGACAGCGCGTAGAACCGGGCGTCCTGGCTGGTCTGGATCCCTGCGGGGAGGGAGGGAGGGAGGCAGGGAGGGAGCTGGAGAGAAAACCCGGCCTGGAGCTCTTCCCCGCCCGCCTCCCGGAGCCCTTGCTCACCTTTGTCCTTCTCGGCGTCGCCGTAGAACTTGCCGGCGGTCAGCACGAAGCGCCCGTAGTCGGGTTTGTGCTTGGATTCCACCCACCGGCGGGTCCAGGCGTCTGTGAGGGGGCAGGATCAGCGCCCTGGGCTCCTCCAGGCCGGGCCTCTGCGCCCCCTAAACCCTTCTTTGCTGGGTGGTTTTAGGGTTGCAGGGGAAAGCGGGGTTCCTCTGTGCTGTTTTCCCCTCTGTTCCACCTGCTCTGCCTGCCCGGGGCTGACCCTGAGCCCCCACCCCACGCCCACTCAGTCGCACACCTGAGGAGTGGCTCCTGTGTCCCCTGTCACCTCAGGGAGCACACGGCGCTCTCCATTCTCTCCCCTCACAGAACACAGAGAGATTTCTTCCTTTTCTCCCTCAGAGATCACAGGGGGTGTCCCCATTCTCCCCTCGCAGAACACAGAAATCTCCCCCCATTTTTTCTTTAAAGAACAGAGGATGATCTCTCCATTTTCCCCTCACAGAACACAGAAACCCCCCCATTTTGTCTTTGAAGAACAGAGGATGATCTCTCCATTTTCCCCTCACAGAACAGAGAAATCCCCCCATTTTTTCTTTGAAAAACACGTGAGGATCTCTCCATTCTCCCCTCACAGAACAGAGAAATCCCCCCATTTTTTCTTTAAAGAACAGAGGATGATCTCTCCATTTTCCCCTCACAGAACACAGAAACCCCCCCATTTTGTCTTTGAAGAACAGAGGATGATCTCTCCATTTTCCCCTCACAGAACACAGAAACCCCCCCATTTTGTCTTTGAAGAACAGAGGATGATCTCTCCATTTTCCCCTCACAGAACACAGAAACCCCCCCATTTTGTCTTTGAAGAACAGAGGATGATCTCTCCATTTTCCCCTCACAGAACAGAGAAATCCCCCCATTTTTTCTTTAAAGAACACAGGAGGATCCCTCCATTCTCCCCTCACAGAACAGCCATTTCCCCCCCCAAAAAACAGAAAATTCCCCCCATTTTTTCTTTAAAGAACAGAGGATGATCTCTCCATTTTCCCCTCACAGAACAGAGAAATCCCCCCCATTTTTTCTTTAAAGAACACAGGAGGATCCCTCCATTCTCCCCTCACAGAACAGAGAAATCCCCCCATTTTTTCTTTAAAGAACAGAGGATGATCTCTCCATTTTTCTCTCACAGAACACGTGAGGATCTCTCCATTCTCCCCTCACAGAACAGAGAAATCCCCCCATTTTTTCTTTAAAGAACACGTGAGGATCTCTCCATTCTCCCCTCACAGAACACGGCTGGGGGGGGGCGGTCACTCAATTCTCTCCCCTCAGGAAACACACCAGGCACCCCCCTTTCTCCCCTCAGAAGTCATCGGGGGTCCCCCCATTCTCTCCCCTCACAGATCACAGGAGAACCCCCCCATTCTCCCCTCAGAAAAGACGGGAAGGTGCCTCCATTCTCTCCCCCCACAAAACACAAGAGGGGCCTCCCACCCTCCTGCCTCCCCTCAGACTCCCCCCGGCCTCCTCAGGCACCGCC